AATTAAGAAACACAAATGTAAACTTGGGTAAAAAGAAACAAAGGAAAATCTGGCCATTAGGTAGTGCAAATCTCTGTAACTGTATACTAGGCCTACTGCACAATAAACATAACACTATCTAACTCTTAAATATTGAGTACACTAACAAAATTAAATTTTCACACAGTTTTCATTCAAGTGCAAAACTAAGACACACACTGCTGCTTTGACAGCAGCCTTGAGTAATAAGAAACAAAGGAAAATCTGGCCTTTAATTAGTGCAATTATCTGTATCTGTATAATACTACGGCACAATAAACCGAGCACTATCCAACTCTTAAATAGTTAGTGAAGTAATAAAAGTTAAATATTTAAAATAAATAATATTCAGTTATTCACACACTTTGCAATCAAATGCAAAACTAAGCACACAAATGTAAACTTGGGTAAAAAGAAACAAAGGAAGATCTGGCCATTAAGTAGTGCAAATCTCTGTACCTGTATATTATTGCAGGAGATTCAAGGAGATTAACATGTTGTTCGTTCTCGGTGAAAATTAACAACATTAATCTACTAAAATACTCCTCTCGTCTAACGACTAAACCAGTGGTTGTAACGTAGGAGGAGAAGCTTTTCAAATCTTTTGTCTGACAGTCTGTTCCTCTTTGGAGAGAAGACAAGCTTGCCCAGGCTGAACAGTCTCTCAACAGGTGCACTAGATGGAGTAGCAGCATTGTAACGTAGTGAAATTTTCTCGATAAGAGAAAATCCACACAGAGAGTTAAAGTTTTGTGCTGAAGATCTAATATAATCTGCCACCTGGTTTTCTGCTGAAGAGGAGGTGTCCTCCTCATCCTCCTCAAAGGAAAAGAAATCGTTCTCTTTGGCTGAATCTGTGTGATGTGAAGATGTGCTGGTGGTACCTGGCTGTGGTGGTTCTTCGAAGATAATCTTACGGCACTCTGTCAGCAAACTTGCCTCAGCCTTATCCTTTAACTCCTGTGACCGCAGCCAGCGAAGTTTGAATTTTGGAAGAGTTACAGCAGCAAGTGTAGCCTCTTCATTTCCCAGGACATCAGCAAATCTGGTTTTGATAGCCTGAAATTATAAGAATAATCGCATTAAATGTATCCAAAACACAAATCAGTGTTGTTGTTATTATTATTAGTAGTAGTAGTAGTATGTATTATCATACAACGTCACTTAATAAAAAATAAAATATTCAATTCAAGTTCTTACTGTGACTATGGCGTCAGGAAGGTCCCTCAGTATTTGCAGGCCACTTTTAAGGGCTTCTGTCTTCAGCATTAATGTCTCAATCGTTGGTAGGAGTGTACCATAAAAACAGTTGTCTTCTCCCTGAAGTATATCTAGGGCAACTGTAAGGGGCTTCATCGCAGTGCAGTACTCCTTTAAAAACAGGTGTTCCCTTTCTGTTATCGCTGTCAGTCCTAATTTGGAGGAGATGGTGTTAAGGTCTACCATGGATATTTCACAAATTCGAGCCAGGGCATCATAGAAGGAATTCCATCGTGTTGTACAAGGTACAAGCAGCTTTTTTTGACACCAAGTAGCCAAAAGTTGGTTTCAGTAGCCAAAGTTGATCGACTAGTCTTGTTCCATAGGGCAGAACATTTGGCAGTAGCACTTCTGTAAACAGCCTTTGTTGCAGGTTTTGACAGCAGCCACTTGTCAACATCTGTGCATGAAATCAGGTTAAGTGTGTGTGATGCACATCTCTTGTGAGGGGGCAAAGTGATCACAACATCACCATCATTATCATCAGTTGCTTGTAGAGCATCATTAATGTCTGTAAATGTCACCTCATCTTCATCATCTTCTTCAGAATCACTCTCCTCAAGTGGCTGGTACTTCTTAAATGCTTTAACAAAATTAGAGCCATTATCAGTCACTGTTGCTGTGCTTTTATGTGTTATCCCATATGTTGAGTGTATATTGTCAAGCTCAACTGCAATAGCGTCATGAGTATGATTCCCCTTAAACCGTCTGCAGGCAAGAGCTGCTTTCTCTCTTTCCATGTTATTTGGATTGATCCAATGTGCTGTCACACCCATGTAACTTTTATTGTGGGCAGTCCAGATGTCTGCTGTAGTTGAAATGTACTCGAGTTCCTCAAATGACTTTTTGAGCTCAATATTCATATTTTCATATTCACCGTCTATGAATTTAGCAAAAGTGTTTCGGCATGGGGCAACCCCCCTTCCTCCTCCTCGTATTGGCCTTTTAGCAAGGATAGCTCTGAATGACTCAGACTCCACAGTGGACAGGGGTAGCATGTTTTCAACAACATACCTTGCAATCAATGTGTTCAGCTCTGGCTTGGTCATCTGTTGCTGACCCGAAAAATCGAGTGTTGCTTGCTTTAACAGAGTGGCTCCGTCTCCTTCGCTGCTGGAGCTCACGCTAGCTGCATTTGGGCTTGGGTTGGCAGCAGCAACAAGTGTCGTGTTAGCACGTATTGATGTGAGGTGCTTCATAAGATTTGAGTTGCTTGAGGCAGATGTGGATAAAGTCTTTTTTCCTGGGCATAGCGTGCATTTTACATAAACATTCTTGCATTTAATTTCAATAAGCGAGAAATAGTGCCGGTACTTCCAGTTCGAGAACGCTACCTTTGAATTTCCCTGGCTCGTCATCGCCATTGTCGCTGTCTTGTGTTTAGCGGTAGTCAGAGCGTGCAGTGAGACAGCACGCGAGTAGCGCATCCGCCCACCCAGCCAATCATTAGGGACTTTAAGCAACAGCTGCTGATAGAACGGCGACGGCAGCCGGAAATAAACAGTTAACTGCCGTAGCTAAAGAGCGCAAAAGGAATAATTTAATCATCAGACAAAATACAAAAAGAAAGTGGTTTTAAAAAGAAAGAGAAGGGTTGATTTTAGCACTTAATGATGTACAGAAACGATTTCAATGCCACATAACCTAAAACATAACATTAACTGTCTTAATCTGTCACGTAGTAACGACTACGGCAAATCAGCTGTTCTCCCGTAGTAGACGGTTACAGTAGAACGTCAAGAAGTGGCAGTTAATGTCGCGCATGCGCAATAGAACGCCAGAGTGCCGTTGCCGTTCCACCAGAGGCTTTTGCTTAAAGTCCCTATCATCGCATTTGCAACGGTGTCATCATCCCCCCACCCCTTGCTCTCTCCAGGCAGCTGATGTGCATCAAACACTGACATCTCGCGCTTCATTCAACCAAATTGTAGTAACGCGCCACTTTACGTTCTCAGTAACGATAACGGCGTTGCAAAAATGGGAAAAATAATTAATTAGATTACCCCGTTACTGAAAAAATAACGCCGTTAGTAACGCCGTTATACTCAAACGCCGTTACTCCCAACACTGTTCGTCAGCGTTGTTTCATCTGCCTTTAAACTGATTTAAATCACTGAGACATTAGTGTTCTTCACTGAAGTCAAGCGCTTCTCATGAGAGTAAATGCGCCTGCTCTGGCGAGCTCACGCCGCGCTGCTGCTCGGACTTTGAGCTGAGCGGATAAATGCTCCGTGTGGTGCGCGATTCAAGTAGCCTGACTACGTCAGACTTGTACTTCCGCTCAATTTCATTTCGCTTCTGTACATCGACATCTCTCAGTAGCGCCCCAGCGAGAAAGAAAACTTTGTAATTGTGCCATGCCAGACTCTGTCTATACGAAGCAAAGCGAAGTCGCAGAGTTTGGTATTACCAGACTATGGTTCAAGTGAGTTTCTTTCTGCTTTTGGTGCATAAACTTTATCAAACTGTTGATATCGTTTTATCAAGAAAAAATGCATCTGAATTCAAAAGTGTTTCACTATAAACGTCTGTTTAGTACATGATGTTTGTATATTTTCAGTATTGACGGAGCTCTTGAGGACGGTTCTTTTGGGCGTTTAGCAAACGATGAATTCAAGGCACCGAATTGCAGAATGAAGTTGATCGAAGTAGAAGGGAAGCCACATCTCTGCCTTTTTGCTCTAAAGGAAATTACGGCAGGAACTGAAATCACTTATGACTATGGTGGAAAAGATTGGCCCTGGCGTAAAGAGGTGGGTCACTTGTCTTCTTTTTTTTTCCCCCTATGAATTGGTGTCATTGTTTAAAGCCTATATTTTGACATCTTGATAACAATGCAATCATCTGTCTTAAAAGCTACTGTGTTATGCTGAGTCAGTTTCATGATGCCACAGAGATTACACAATACCTATCGCTTATTAGTAGGGTTGGGAATCGTGAGAAATTTTCCGGTTCCGGTTCCGATTCCGGTTCCGCCAAACGATTCCGGTTCCGGTTCCCATTCAATTAAAAATATTAGTAACAGAAAAATCCACAATCCTTTTTGTGTTTATTTCTTATAGTACTTGACAAATTAGTTTAACAGACTGGTAATGTAAACAAACTCAAAATATTATTAAGCAATCTTTGCAACAAAAAATATATATATATATATATATATATATATATATAAAGGAAATTAAAAAATTCTGCATTCTCTATAATAATTTAGACCTCTCCTTTATTGTATCTCCAACAGTGAAGAATACCCTCTCAGAAGGAGTAGAATATGCTTTAACACACATATGTGTGTAGAACAGATTATTTTTTAAAACGGTTTGAATGATTGATTTATAAAGACTTTACTTATTTCATTACTGGATAAATCGGCGCTCTAGCAGTTAATAAACAGAACTGCATGCGTCTTGCGGAAGAACATTGTTGCCGGAGCTACTTCTCTCTGTCAATGTCCATGACGAGTCACGCAGGCATTGGGCTACTCCGCAGCAGCTGCGATCCGCCGGCCAGTCTAAACAAGAAGTCCGAGTATTAACGCTTATTACAGGCTTTACGTAGTGATTCAAGATAAGTCAAAAACACGGTTTGAAAAAAAAACATTATGATGTACTCGCTCATTGTATATATTTTGCAAATTCTGAACACAAAAAATATACGGACTGCATCTGTTTTGACCACTACCGTTGTTATGTTAATTGGACTAAGCATTTTAGGTTTTGTATTTGGGACTCTAATTTTGAAAAATTACCTGACTGAGCAGGGAGCAGCCATTTTAGTTTCAGTTTCGCTCAACTCTCTCAAGCATTAAGCTCCATGTGACTGCTGCTCCAGTTTTCTTTAATGTTTATGCCTTCGAAAGCATTGTCAGTAAGTAATCATTGTTAAATGTGTAAATTGAGAATATTTTATACATCTTCTATGCTATATTGATAATAATTAAAAAAAATTTTTTTACACCAATTGCTCAACCGGTAACTCTGCTCTGTTAACCTTAATATTGTGTATATATTTTGTATTCTGTTTCTAAAAGCACTTTATTTGTGTATTGTTTTTGATAGTTTCACTCTTCTTTGAATCATATTGGAGTAAACATCAGGAGTTTTTCTTGGAAAACTGCACCCTGACTCCAGTCTTTATTTGAAGGGAGTTTGGCTTGCTGCTGAATTGTGTTCACACATATGGAAACGCACAAGGAGAGCAGTATAGTGAAATGACATAAACTCAGCTGGCTGAACATCTTGGCAGACCCATACAGCAGCAAGTAGCGATCATCATGGCTGAAAGGTATCCAAAAGAGACCGCATCAAGAAAGATACAAATTAAAAGTAACAGTACATCTGACAAATCTTCTAAAAGTTCCATAAGAAGTTCAAGATCCTCAAGATCTTCAGTTGGTGTTGCTGCAGCACGTGCTAGAGCTAAGGCAGAGGCTGCACGAGCACGAGTTACTTTTGCAGAGAGAGAAATTGCAATTAAAGTAGACACAGCCAGATTACAAGCTAACTTGGAAGCCCTGCATCTTGAAAAAGAGGCTGCAGCTGCTAGTGCAGAAGCAGATATTTTAGAAGCAGCAGCAGAGTTTGAGGATGATGTGCTGTATGAAATGAAAAGTCACTCTTCATCTGCACAAAGCACAGAAAAACGTGTTTGTGATTATGTCAGGGACCAAGCTACATATCTCAGTGAGCAGGCTGACTTAGCCATTGATCAGTCTCACGATTGCGAATCTGAACCAGACCAAGTAACGGATCAGAACCAGTTAACCTCTCAAACTAAGCCAAATATAGTGCATGTGAACGATAACCAGTATGTCGTACTTGATGCTTATTCTTCATTTTCACCTCCAAGAGTGCCAAAACTGCAAAAGATAAAACTCCAAAGAAGTGTGAAAGAGGAGCCAAAAGAAATAGCAGTCAGCAATAAATGGCAGCAACGGCCTAAGTGCAGTGGCGTATCAGGATATTTCCCACAACACCCTGAAACTTCAGGCATGATGGATCTAGTGAAATATCTTGCACGTCGTGAGCTGGTGAGCAGTGGTTTAACACGCTTTGATGATCACCCTGAAAGTTACAGAGCCTGGAGGTCCTCTTTTATCAACACAATCAAAGACTTGAGTCTTACAGCCAGTGAGGAGCTAGACTTGTTGTCAAAGTGGCTTGGTAAAGAATCTTCAGAATATGTGAGACGTCTCAGGGCAGTTCATATTGAAAACCCAGACACAGCCTTGAAAATGGTCTGGAACAGGCTTGATGAATGTTACAGCTCACCTGAAGTAATCGAAAGTGCACTGTTTAAGAAGTTGGACAGTTTTCCCAGGATTTCAGGTAAAGACAACCTCAAACTAAGAGAGCTCGGAGATCTTTTAATGGAGCTGCTCTCAGCCAAGGAAGACGGCTATCTACCAGGTTTAGCTTACTTAGACACTGCTCGCGGCATCAGGCCCATTGTTGAAAAACTGCCATACACCTTACAAGAGAAATGGATTTCTCAAGGCTCAAAGTTTAAAGAAGAATTTGGTGTCACTTATCCTCCTTTCTCGTTCTTTACTCAGTTCATTTGCAATCATGCTAAAACACGTAACGATCCCAGCTTTGCCTTTTCCAGTAGTTGCCGACCACAGTATGAAGGACCCACTGTAAAACACACTAACTTCAAGACGCCAGTGTTGGTACACAAAACCGAAGTCTCTCATAGTGCATTTCAAGACAGAAAGCCTTCTAAAGATGATCCAGCCAAACACTGTCCCATCCACAACAAACCCCACCCTTTAAGGAAATGTCGAGGCTTCAGATTGAAAACAATCGATGAGCGAAAAGCATACCTAAAGGAGCAAGGGATCTGTTTCAGGTGCTGCTCATCATCATCACACGTTGCACGCGATTGCAAAGTCATTCTAAAATGTCATGAGTGCAACAGTGACAGTCACAACTCAGCTCTGCATCCTGGTCCACCCTCATGGACATCCAAAATCCAAAGTCCTCCATTATTGCATGGCTGGGAGGATGCAAGAGAAATTCCAATAACACAAGAGGTGAGCTCCCTTTGCACTGAAGTTTGTCATGGCCTTTCCACAAAATCTTGCTCCAAAATATGTCTCGTCAATGTGTTTCCTGAAGGGCATCCTGAAAATGCAGTAAAAATGTATGCTATGCTCGATGATCAGAGCAACAGATCTCTGGCCAGGTCAAGATTTTTCGACATATTCAACATTAAGAGCAAAGCATCTCCTTACAGCCTAAAGACATGTGCTGGGTTGATTGAGTGTTCAGGAAGAAAAGCAAATGGTTATCGGATTGAAGCAGCAAAGGGTGGAATTAGTCTTGCACTTCCAACATTAATTGAATGTGACGAAATACCCAACAACCGTGATGAAATTCCAACACCTGAAGCTGCTCTCCATCAACCTCACCTCAGGCATATTGCATCTGAAATCCCAGCTCTGGACCCTGAAGCCCACATCCTACTGTTGCTTGGACGAGACATACTTAGAGTTCATAAAGTGAGGAAGCAAATTAACGGCCCACACAACACACCCTTTGGCCAAAAACTCGACTTAGGATGGGTGCTGGTTGGTGAAGTATGCCTTGGAGATGTGCACAAGCCCAGTGTTTCATGTTTCAAGACGAACATCTTAGAAAATGGAAGACCCTCACTGTTTATTCCTTGTACAAGTCACGTACACATTAAAGAAAAGATCACCAGCAACTTAACAGCTTTGCATACAGCTCATGACTTCGAAACCCACTGGAACATGAACACAGACAATCTTGGTCAGACTCTATTTAAAAGATCAGAGAACGACAATAAGCCTGCACTCTCCATCGAGGATGAAGTATTTCTAAAGATTATGGAGAAAGACGTTTTCCAGGATAACTCCAACAGTTGGGTGGCACCTCTTCCCTTTAGGTCTCCACGGCCAGTTCTTTCAAACAACAGAGATCAAGCTCTAAGCCGTCTCTCTTCCTTGCGACGTACCCTAGAACGGAAGCCAGACATGAAAGAACAGTTTGTTACCTTCATGCAAAAACTATTTGACAGTGACCATGCAGAACTTGCAGCTCCACTACCAAAGGGAAATGAATGCTGGTACTTGCCACTATTCGGAGTCTATCATCCCAAAAAACCCGATCAGATCAGGGTGGTATTCGACTCCAGCGCACAATATGAAGGTATCTCTCTCAATGATGTGCTCCTCACCGGACCAGACCTTAATAACAGCCTCATTGGTGTCTTGATGCGCTTCAGGAAAGAGTGTGTAGCAGTGATGGCAGACATCCAACATATGTTTCACTGTTTTGTTGTGAGAGAAGATCATAGAGACTACCTACGCTTCCTGTGGTACCGTGATAATGACCTTAACAAGGACATTGTTGAATACAAGATGAAAGTCCACGTGTTTGGCAACAGCCGGGGATGGGCTGTTGCCAATCTACTGCCTAAGACGAGCCGCAGAGAAGGGTGTGCCGCAACATGGTCAAGACACCAGGCACTTTGTGGAACATGGATTCTATGTGGATGATGCACTAATTTCCTTGCCAACTGAAGAGGAAGCAATAGACCTACTAAAGAGAACACAAGCATCCCTCTCGGAATCAAACCTGCGACTGCACAAGTTTGTATCCAACAGTCTACAAGTACTCAAAGCATTCCCTACGGAAGATCACGCAAAGGACATCAAAGATCTCGATCTCAATGGTACAACTATGCCTACACAACGCAGCCTTGGTCTTATTGGGAAACTGCGACTGACACATTTACATTCAAAGTATCAGTCAACGACAAACCATTCACACGCCGTGGTGTCCTATCGGTAATCAATAGTCTCTTTGATCCTCTCGGTCTTGTGGCTCCTGTCACTATTCAGGGGAGGTTTTTACTCAGAAAGCTATCCATTGAAGGAACAGACTGGGATGAACTACTGCCACAAGAGAAACTCGGTGAGTGGGAATCATGGACACATTCATTGAAAGACTTGCAACACCTTCACATTCCTCGTCCTTACACACCCAACTCTCATTCCAAGGCAAATCACAAAGAAATCTGTGTTTTCTCTGATGCGTCGACAAAAGCCATAGGAGCTGTAGCATATCTCAGGACAGTAGATGAAGATGGACAGATCAGCACTGGCTTCATCTTAGGAAAAGCAAAACTGACGCCAAAAAACCAGCCTACCATACCCCGATTAGAGCTTTGTGCAGCAGTCTTAGCAGTGGAGGTGGCAGAACTCATTGTTCAAGAGATTGACATCAAACCGGATGCTATTACCTTCTACTGCGACAGCAAGATTGTACTTGGCTACATCTATAACGAAACTAAACGTTTCTACGTCTATGTCCACAACAGGGTACAGAGAATCAGACAATTTTCAGAACCAAAGCAGTGGCGATACATACCCACAGAGCACAATCCTGCTGACATTGCTTCTAGATCAATCCATGCATCTCAGCTTGCCAAATCTAACTGGTTTACTGGTCCGGCATTCCTGCATGAGCCACATGAAGATGACTTCATTATGTCAGATAACTTTGCGCTTGTGGACCCAGATTCAGATGCAGAAATCAGGCCAATGGTGACAGCTTGCATCTCAGAAATGAAGGAGAAACAACTCACCTCTGACAGGTTTCAGAGATTCTCCTCTTGGAAATCCTTACAAAGAGCCATTGCATCGCTCATCCATGTAGCTTGCTCTTCTAGATCCACCAATGAATCCGATACATGCAGCGGTTGGCATCTTTGTTCAAAAGCACACAATGTAAGTGAGCTGTTAAAAGCCAAGAATGTGATAATCCGCTCTGTGCAAAAGGAATCATTCAGTAAGGAGATTGAAACACTCTCTAAGGGAGGAAACATTAGCAGCAAAGTTCCACTCTCAAAACTGAATCCTTTCCTAGGTGAGGATGGCCTACTCAGAGTCGGAGGCAGATTAAAACTGGCAGATTTAAGCTACCCAGAAAAAAACCCAGTCATATTACCTGGCAAGCATCACGTTTCTACGTTACTCATAAGGCACTACCATGAACGCGTGGAACACCAAGGCCGCATATTCACAGAAGGGGCCGTTCGTGCTGCTGGATTGTGGCTTGTTGGAGGCAAGAGATGCATAAGCAGTGTTCTCCATGCATGTGTAACCTGTCGTAAACTGCGTGGTAAACTAGAGATGCAGAAAATGTCAGACTTGCCACCAGAACCCGTTTACTTACACTGGCTTAGATGTCTTTGGCCCTTGGACAGTGGTAGCTCGCCGCACAAGAGGAGGTCAAGCTCACAGTAAACGCTGGGCAGTGCTTTTCACCTGCATGAGCACCCGTGCAGTTCACATTGAAGTCATTATGTCTATGGACTCTTCAAGTTGTATCAATGCCCTTCGCAGGTTTTTTGCGATCCGCGGCCCTGCAAAACAACTACATTCTGACTGTGGAACTAATTTCATTGGCGCTTGCAACGAGCTTGAATTCCACAAAGTGATTAAGGAAACCAAGGTGCAAAGATACATCAATGACGAAGGATGCACATGGGTTTTCAACCCACCACACTCCTCCCATATGGGAGGCGTATGGGAGCGTATGATTGGTCTCGCTCGTAGAATTCTTGACTCAATGCTGATGCGGGAAGGACACTCCAACCTCTCTGATGAAGTGCTTTGTACACTTATGGCAGAAGTGACGGCCATTATTAACAGTAGACCTCTAGTACCTGTTTCTATGGACGCAGACTCACCCTTGATACTTACCCCTGCAATGCTCCTAACACAAAAGGCAGGTTCTCCACCTCCAGCAGGAAACTTCTCCGAAAAGGACATCTACAAACGCCAATGGCGGCAAGTACAGAGCCTAGCCAACCAATTCTGGTGTCGCTGGAAACAGGAATATCTGCAAACACTGCAAGTTCGTCACAAATGGCAGGATCCATACCCAAACATCCAGGAGGGCGACATAGTACTACTTAAGGACAATCAAGTAGCCCGAAATGAATGGCCTATGGCACTCGTCACAAGTGTTTTCCCTGGTCAAGATGGCAAGGTTCGAAAAGTTGAACTTAAAGTAACTAAAGGAGGGTCCAGCAAAACTTTCTTGAGGCCTATATCTGAAATCATTCTCCTGCTTAGAAAATAAGAAAAACACCTTTAAACAGATAATTATAGATGACATCTTTATAGATGTCATGCGGGGAGTGTTATGTTAATTGGACTAAGCATTTTAGGTTTTTTATTTGGGACTCTAATTTTGAAAAATTACCTGACTGAGCAGGGAGCAGCCATTTTAGTTTCAGTTTCGCTCAACTCTCTCAAGCATTAAGCTCCATGTGACTGCTGCTCCAGTTTTCTTTAATGTTTATGCCTTCGAAAGCATTGTCAGTAAGTAATCATTGTTAAATGTGTAAATTGAGAATATTTTATACATCTTCTATGCTATATTGATAATAATTAAGTGTTGTTTTATACACCAATTGCTCAACCGGTAACTCTGCTCTGTTAACCTTAATATTGTGTATATATTTTGTATTCTGTTTCTAAAAGCACTTTATTTGTGTATTGTTTTTGATAGTTTCACTCTTCTTTGAATCATATTGGAGTAAACATCAGGAGTTTTTCTTGGAAAACTGCACCCTGACTCCAGTCTTTATTTGAAGGGAGTTTGGCTTGCTGCTGAATTGTGTTCACACATATGGAAACGCACAAGGAGAGCAGTATAACCGTCAATGTTTACTCAAACTATAATCTCACTAATTCTGTAACGGAAATCATTTGAATATGTGAAACAAATAAATATTGAGACTGTGTGATTGTAAAGCAGTTTCATATCGACAACTGCTCTCTCTCTCTCTCTCTCTCTCAGCGCAAACAGATTTGAATGTAGGCTAGAGAGTGACTCGGCGGTCGGCGCGCGCAGCGTGCGTGTGTCTGTGTGTGACAATGCAGCGCGTGTGAGAGCAAATCGCAACTTCAGTGGTGAAGTTTTTGTCATTTAGGAATAAGACGGCAATCTTCTACTCCCAGCACTTCGCCCACATGATGAATCGCATCGGCATCAGAGAACCGTTTTCGGAACCGAAACTTAGGAATTTTGCACGGTTCCGGTATTTTTTTAAAAACACAACCGGTTCTGGAAAAGAACCGGTTCTCGGTTCCCAACCCTACTTATTAGTGACATTTTGAACCAAAAAAAAAAAAAAACAGAAATCACTGCTTTGTAGTATTCATTCCAGTTCTCAGTCAACCTTGTCAGGTTAATCTCAACTTTGCATGACTCTCCCAGCTGATGCCACCAAGCTTATCTGTGTATGTTGTCCTGTATGTTTTTAGATTCCCCCTACTGTTACAAGCATTTCTTTCCAAGAGTCTACTAAAGACAGTGTCCAAGACATGTCATCCACAGTCTTTATTGAAGGTCAGTGACTTTTTGACTTAATGTTTTATCTAGTTGTCAATGGTGTACTGTAGATGAGTAAGAAACTTTTATGCCCCATATTGCCATGTTAACTGAGATGGTTTTACAGTAGTTATGGTGGGCATATAAACTTATTGTGTCTATAAAGGATGTGAACCAGTGGTTGCTTCTAGAGTGACCCACAACCCCACTCTCCCTGGCCTTGCTCATATTCTTTTCTGTATTCTGCAGAGACCAGAGAGAGACCAGAACTCCAGTCGTCCTGCAATATGACATCAGGCTGTTCTGCTTCTGAGGTAAGGCTGAATACAGTGTCTGTTAAAGCAACATGTCCCATTGTTTTACAATGGCTAAGGAAATGTCACAACACAAAGCATCACCACATACACCTGCTATAGTTTTATTGAATGAGATGTAGCAAATGCAACATTTAATAATATACATAAAATGTATTTAAGGGGGCCGAAGGCCAATTTAGCTCAAAGGGAAATGATTCATTGATTTGCAATGAATCTATGGAACCGAATCACTGAACCGAGCAAATGACTCGCTTAGAATTCATTTGAACGGGCCGTAATTATAACCAAATCTATAGTGAAACACTATGTCTTAGCAAGGTAACTTTAGATCGAACAGTACAAGACATTAAATGTGCAAACACGACACAAGAAGATTTATCTTTTCAAATATATGGAAGACTTTATTAGCTATTCTAAACACAAGTAAACATAATCACGCACACACACACACACATTCATACAGTCGCGAAAGGGAAAGAGTGAGTTGGAAAGAGTGAGAGAAAGTTTCAACTTTCTATATGCACGTAAGACATAACCTGAAGGGACCACCAAGCATTAATTTGAACCTTCATTTCTTAGAGAGGTTATTCAATTAACATTAAAGCACCAGTTCAGTTAGAGCCTGGAGTACTTGCGCTTTGTAGTGGCTGAGGGAATTCCCTTTGTCTGCGTCGCATCGAAGGGGGGTTTCCCGGCCGGGTCCGTTGCGTGGTTTGTTGTCTTTGAAGTGCAGGGATGGAAGTTTCTGAGTTTGCCGGTCACGTGTGACTAGCAGCCGAATGAAAAGTCTTTACGATTTCGAAGCGCGTTGCGGAGAGCCGTTCAAAACGAAGCTTTGCAGCAAACTTAACTTTGAAACGAGACTTTTACAAAAAGGAAATAAAGGAAAGAAATGAAAGTAAGACGAGTCGGATGGCTTGACTGAGCTGAATTGTAACCCTGATCTTGATGGGTTATTCGTCTGCGGGTCGAATTTGGTCTAGTCGATGTAGAAGCATGCGGACATGTTCTTTGTTTCAGAGATAAGCACGAACAGAACACTCTCTTGCTGGTTTTAGAGAGAGGCACTAACTTAACAGTTACAGAACTGAACGAACTGAACAAAAATCTGACAAAAATCTCAAAAATCTGCAAAAATCTTCAAAAATCTGATCATGAGGTCCTTTGTTCGGATCTTTAACTTAAAGTCTAGTCCAACCTCCAAGAAACTTCAGGCCAATGGGTAATGGCATGATCTCAGGAGGTGGATCTACTTCTTTCTTTATCATAATTTATGCATGGTCTGTGAGCTGGTCTCCAGCACTTAGCAGAGACAAAAGACCATCGTTTTAACCTTATGATAATTATAATCATAAAACAAAACCTTTTACGCAGATTTCAATCAAGCCATCTTTTGAATTACGAGAATACGGTTCGTTTAAGAGCAAACGAGGCATTCACACTTCTAATGGTTGTATAACAATTACAAGAGTTAATAGTTAACAACAATTAGATGGTTATTATGTGATCTAAGCATAATAACACATGAAGTGTAGGAACAACAACAATTATGATTGGTTATAGGTCCAAGAATTGTTCTGTGGTGAGTTTATATGATTTTATGTGTGAGATCTCCGATCTCAACCGCAAGGTTACTGCGAGTTCAACTCGTAAGGGGGACGAGGAGATGTGTTCTGTGGAACATCTCTGTCAGGGGATCAAAGGGGTCTTGGTTGTGAGCCTCTCGTTCCACCATTTTGGAGCCGATTTGTCTTAGTAAAACCATTAACATATTGACACGTTTCTTCCTGTGGCATTCTGTTGCTATCTGCAGGACCATAAAAGTCTTCGGAGGGGGGGGGGTTTATTGTCCCCCCAAAGCAAACCCTCGGCGCCGTTCCGTGACTCTGGAATGTGGGCTCTAGAACTTTTGGAGTGTTGAAGCCCTGTGAATTAATCCCATGAGAGATTAATTTGATAAAGTTGTGTTTGATTCGCCTCGATTCTCTACAGAGGGCACAACAAAACGTAATTAATTATTCGTAAGTAACAGTTCTTCCGCAAAATATATTTTCTGTAGCTGAATTGTAGGCAAGTAATTCACAAATGCAGACAGCGTAACTTTGTTGAACTAACAAAGGAAAAATGCAGCCAGAGATGTGACGTTATGAAAATTTTCCAAAAGGATCCAGTGTGATCCAGCCAATCATATTCAAGGGTCAGAACATTTTAAATTGTTACTCTGTCTTAGTCAGGTCAACTATACAATAACACAGTCGTGTAGGTGATGTCCAAGTTCACATGTGCATTTTCTGTTTAACTTGTTTAGACACAGCTTAGCGGTGCAAGCTTCTCTTCTGGCCAACACTCCGTTGCAGTGCTTGGTGACCACACCCATGACTTGGAACCCAATGTTTTCTCTACAGATTTAGTCAGAAGTGAGTCCCTCTTGAATAAGCAATGCCTGGGAAATACTGGGGTCCCGTAAAGCACTGTGCCTTCATGTCCTGTGTTCTCTTCAACAGACACTGAATTGAGAGCAGAGTGTCAGACATTCAGTGCTGTTTATTGCGGGATGTCTGAATGTTTAGAATTGATGTATTTTCTTAAGGGACATATTTCTGCAGATACAGTCTGAATATCTTTGTCTGTAAAGATGGTCATTATTTAACATTTTGTTTCCCTGTCTACATCATTTTGAGTGTCATAAACTTAGAGGTTTGATTGAGGGTTTGATTGAGGGTGTCCCTCTTAGGTGAAATGGACACTGTACCAGTTGATGCCTGTTCATCTTTGCATTTTGCTGGGTTTTTTTTTTTTTAGGTGCACTGTGTCAGAGGTCAATGTGGCACTTCTGAGAAACCAGGGATTGGTGAAGTTGATGTCCAGCCCCAGGAGGGCTCGCCCCCTGTGTCATCAACAGACCCTGCCAGTGGTCAGTTATAGTTTTGAGTTAACTTCTGGGAATGCATGTCATGCCTGCTGAGGGTTTACAGGGTCGCCGTGATTTTGCCAAGTAATACATGGTCCTGGATCAACATATTTTATTGATCCTGGATTAACATTCCTGTCCCAAATTGAGTCATTACCCAATCCCTACCCCTAAACCTAACCCTACCCATAATTTTTCCCTAAAATTATAGGGTAATGATAGGTGAAAAACACTGATGTTAAAGTACTTCACCCTGATTCTAAGCCTAAACTTGACATAAACTGTAAACTTGTTTTATGATACGAGGAAAGCCAAGCACTGAATCTTGCGTGTTCCCTTGTACAGGGACTGAACCGAGATCAGAGTGTCACGCATCCAGAGCTGCGCCGAATGACTCTGCTTGTGAGGTGAGTTTGAATTCACTTGTGTTTTGAAATTGACCAGTGGTTAGAAGTAATGGGATGTTCCTTGGAACAGTTTTCAGTGTTTTAATAAACCTCTTGCAGCTACAGTACGGTGGTTATGTCCTCTATTCAGGATGGATGGTCTGGATGGTGTGGAGTGTGCCACACACTGGCAGTTCAATAGTGGAAGTCTTCGTTTCAGCACGGATGTCATTGATAGTCCAAAGGAAAGTGTCCTTACATACCTAGAGTTTGTGTGTGTTACAACCTGTCCTCACATAACATGAATATTCCTGTAACACACACAGATGTAGAAACTACAGCATGTGCTTGTAAAGTGGCTAGTTAAGGAATAGGGTTTTCCCTATTTTATATACATTCTTAGTTGTGGCATCTACGTGTACCTATATGGTTCATGGACCATGGTCAGCTGTTTCTTGCGGCTTGATGGTAAAATTATTTTTTTTCAGTGACATGTCTCCCCTATACAAAATGGTTCCTAATTTTGTTCAAAATTCTGTCTTTGCACATATGCAGTATTATCATCTGTGCCAGTTGATGCCTGTTCATCTTTGCATGTTGCTGTTCTTGTTTTAGGTA